GAGATAATTATAGTATATATGGGAATATATATGGGAGATAATTATCTCCACACTGATTTATACCTGCCTCTGGAGATTTCCATTACTTGCATCTGAAGAAGTGAGGTTCTTACCCACGAAAGCTTATGCTCCCAATACTTCTGTTAGTCTCAAAGGTGCCACAGGACCCTCTGTTGCTTATTATAGTTGTGAGGAGTGAGATCTTGTGAAATCTTCACTGACTCTTCCTCCTGCCCTAGTGCTACTAGATTGAGCACCAAAGTATGGCACTCACTCTACTGGGTGCCTTCACTTCTCCCAAGCAGAACATTAGTGCAGGTGCATGCAGCTGTTTCTACTCCCTGGCTGCAGCGGGATCCTGCTATTTCTGCACGTCTCAAAGTATATCTGGATGGGTTGGAGACGTGGCTGGGTTCCATCCTCATGTGCACCAGCTAGCACTAGAGCATGCAGGGATAGCAAGATATTGGGTTTGTGTAATGCACAGTTTATTGTTCTCAAACTAAAAAGTATATTTGTGAAACTTGGCCCTTTCCAAAACATTCTGTCTACTTTGTCCTGAAAGCTAAAACTCCTATTCTGACACCCATACTCTCCCATACTGATTCCTGCAAATAACTAACGTCTTGTGCCTACAAACCCCATCAAGGCCTCGTTGTACTAGGCATTACTAACGATTAAGATAGTTCCTGCCTCAGAGAGTTTACAGTCTAGACTTCTGGCCATGTCCTCTCCCCTCTCTGAATCCCTTTGTTGGCTGTCTCTTCTAGCATGTCTCATTTATGCTTCTTGTTCTTGGCTTCAGGTTCATGTATAATGCTGATCCTAGATAGTCATCATCCTGAGCCTTTTTATGTATCATCCTCTGGCCTGATCTGCCAGTGATATAGCCATGGTGTGCTATTTGCCCAGTAAATGTCTCCATGCCTTCTTGCATACAGGCAACATGGAAGAAATGCCCTTCCTGAGCCAATCCACAAGGCCACTGCTCTCTTCTCTTCAGCTCCCTCTTCCACATCTGTCTCAGCTATGACATCTGCAAATAACTTTGTTGTCGGGTAATTTGGAACTAACTGGCCATCTCTATAGGTGGAAGGGCAGTACAATGGCAGGTGAAATTCACTTTTGACAAATACAAGGTAATGCATGTTGGAAAGAATAATATGAACTGCTCAGACATACAGATCATGGGTAAACAATGATTAGCTGACATGATACTGCATATGGTTTTCCTTGGTCCACACTGGCTGGTTGGTCATGATCAGAATCAAGTAAGCTAACTTGATTTCATAGTTGTACTTGGGCACTTAAAAAGTGTTCATGTAGACAAGCCCAGAGGCATGATACTGAACTATATACACTGCTGGTCTGATCCACTACTGTAACTCCTACTTCCTATTGGGGAGGAGGACAGGAGAGGTGAAGTGGTGGGAGGTCTTTCTTTGTTTAATGAGAGCATGAGAAAGACTAAAGTCTAAAAACAATTCCCGTTCTGTAGCTAAGCTGGGAAATGGATGGGCATTGAAAGATTTGAAAGATTACACACCAAGTTCAAATCAAACTTTCCAAGCTGCCACCCCAGTATTGCCAGATTTTGCACACTCTGCCATCTTTCCTTTCATCCCCTTCTCTTTCCATAACACTCCACACTCTGGGACTAAGCAGTCAGCATTGATATATTTAGCCAGACCTGGGAGAAACATGGTGTTAGTGTGACAGAGGTGTTCACAAGGGTATTATTAGCTTTTAATATAACAATAAAAGCTAAAAGGTGTTGAAGAGAGACAGCTGACTTGTCCCATTTGGGAAATAGAACATCCAGTGGACAATGAAGAACATTAAGGACCTGTTTGGGAAGAATAAACACACCGTTTTAACCTTGTAAAAGAGAAACTTCCCCCTTACAACCAGTCATTTGTTTACGATATGATTTTATTACAGTAGCGCCTAGAGGCCCAGTGGAGATAAGAGCCTCACTGCGCTCAGCACTGAACACATACATAGTCCGAGACGATGCCTGCTCCAGAGAGCTTACAGCTGAAAAAAGACAAGCCAGACAAAGTATTTTTGCAGATGGAGAACAGAGGCAAGAAACAATTTGCCCAAGGTCACACAGGAAGTCCACAGCAGAGCTGGGACTTGAACCCATGTCTCCTGAAGGCCAGGCTAGCATCCTAGCCACACTACCAGGCATCTTCTCTTTGCCTCTGTAACTAACACCACCACAGATTATTAAAACGAGCTTTTTTTTCAGTGCAATTTATCTTTCACTGTTTGTGCTTGTTGTTTCTCTCTTACGTTTCTGGGCTTGGACAATGAAAATGAATTTAGTCAACTCAGATGTCTGTGCTGCAGTGTTTGTGTTGCAAAGATTGCCAGGGAATCTTGTTTAAGAACTGCTCCTTCCATTGAATTTTAACCCCTTCTTCTCCACCCTCCCCCCCCAAAAGAGGTTTCTGTTGGGTTTGCAGGTAGGTTTGGATACAAATTTATTTATATACAATCTAAATGTTGGCTTTATTTGTTGAACTTGATTTGACATTGCCCCTTTGAAGCTCTGATGTACAAGTTACCTCTTTAAATGCAAAATGACAGTTCACAGGGAAATAAAGGATACCTGTCAAAAAGCAAATCCTGAAAGAAAGAGTGAACTAAAATGTACTCGCTAAGAGCAATCCAGTTGCTGATCCAGCCTGCCCTTGCTTAATTTGAGATCTGCAAAGCTTGTGCCACTAGATGTATAGTGACAGGTTGTTTGATATACCAGTAAATAATACTGAACTACCACGTTTGTCCGTTTCTTCTCTTTCAGTAGTCAATCAATGCCTTGTCATCTGTTTTGAGGGGTGAGGCGGCTGGAGACAGAATGTGAATCCTTGGATGCCCTTCTGTTTCACAAAACTTTCCACACTGGCAGTTTCTGATGAGGCATGAAATACAAGGATCACTGATTTCACCTATTTTCTATCTTAGTTCAGAAATGTCTGTCTATAGGAAAAGTCAACGAGCTGGGAATAGTTAAGAAAAGTTGTGCCATTAGAAGAGAATGTTCCCCAACCATTCAAGCTGGTTGGGAATGTTCCTTACTCTGTGTATTAATAGCTAGTTGTTCATAGTCTGAAATGTTCAAAAATGTCTTGTGATTTTTGTGTGCCCAACCTGAAACTCCTTAAAGGTGCTGAGCATATACCCTCTGAAAATCAGGCCCCTTTAAAGTATCTCAGGTGGGGCACCCAAAATCACTAGTCATGCTTGAATTTAAAATAACCTCCCATAGTTCCTACGGTATGTGGTGTACAATATAGACATGACAGGACATTTTCAGTCATTTCTATAAACTCCTATACTGTAATGGAATATCAACTCTAACCTGTGGCTTAAATCACTCAAAGGCTGTATTGCTTGCAAGGATCCTAAGCTACAAGAGTAAATTGAAAAAATCTGCTCTTATGAAAGGAAATTTGTAGAGTCGCTTGAAGATGCATTTTCACTGCTGAAGAAAAAGGATTGTTTGATAGCTCTGCCCAGAGAAATTGTACCTGCTGATAGTAAGCTTTTTTGGTTGAAAAGCCCAGGCTTTATTCTAACCGTGGTAAAGCCGTGCTTCATATATTATGAGAGAAAGGGTTAGACTCGTACTTAATTACTGGGGTTTGCAGTTTCTCTTTCAAAATCAGAAGGGTATTCACCTCCGCTGCTTGATGCAACAGAAGAAACTAGTGAAGATACTACAGCAATGAATGGGCCCCTGGAACTGTACGGTGTTCAAAGATATTGAAAGCTTCGGGAAAATCTATGAAACCAAGGCTATCTTGTCTGCTCTAGAGACTGTCAAAGCATATGTGTAGACAGGGAAACATACAGAGAGAAGGAAGGGAAACCTAAATGTGTGCAATGAACGTGGTCAGGTAGACTTAACATGAGAAGGAACCGTAGACTTGAGGAGGAGTTCAGTACTTTGAAAAATGAGTGTTGTGTGTGGGGGAAACAAAGTCTAGAAGGAATTTAGGCCGAGTGTAATGAGTGTGTAGCATGGAACAGCAAATGTAGCCACAGAAGCAGCAACTGATTGCTTTACAAATAGAACAAATGTTTTTGAGTGGGGTATGTTTCAGGAGTAAAGCCAGTAGCTGGTTGGATGAACCTGAGTGGGCTGCATGGCAGCTTCTCCTGGAGGAAGATACCCATGTTAATAAAACAGGATCCTTTGTTTCATGTTGTGCTCAGCAACTTCTTCCTCCCAGTGGATTATGTATATTGGAATTCTGGACTAGATCCTCAGCTACAGTAAATCAAGGTAGCACCATTGAAGTCCAATGGAGCTCTGCTGACTCTCATCAGCTGAGGGTCTGGCCCCGCATCATCTAACCCTGCTCAGAGCAAGCCTATATTTCATGGCGATTAAAACATCAGTGGCTACTGGTGCATTGTCTACACTACTCTGCTTTTGGAGCTCCAGATTTCTTAGCAATGGTGGGCAAGACCACAGAATCATAGAAATGTAGGACTGGAAGGGACCATGCATAGAGGCTGGCCAAGGTATTATCTAGGCCATCCCTGACAGGTGTTTATCCAGCCTGTTCTTAAAAAACTCCAGTAATAGAGATTCTAGGTAATTAGTTCCAGTGCTTAACTACCCTTAAAGTTAGGAAGTTTTTCCTAATTTCTGACCTAAATCTCCCTTATTGCAATTTAAGCCCATTACTTCTTGTCCTGTCCTCAATGGTTAAGGAGAACAATTTACCATCCTTCTCTTTATAACAACCTTTTACATACTTGAAGACTGTTATGTCCCCCCTCTCAGTCTTCTCTGCTCCAGACTGAAAAAAAAATGGGTTTGTTTAATCTTTCCTCATAGGTCATGTTTTCTAGCCCTTTAATCATTTTTGTTGCTCTCCTCTGGACTTTCTCCAATTTGGCCACATCTTTCCTGAAGAGTGGTGCCCAGAACTGGATGGAGTACTCCAGTTGAGGCCTTATCAGTGCTGAGTAGAGTGGAAGAATTACTTCTTGTGTCTTGCTTACAACCCTCCTGCTAATACATCCCAGAATGACCCTTCTCTCATTTACACAGGACTAAATTGGGAGCAACCTTACTGGTGTCCAGGAAGCTAAACTGGTATGAGCAAGTGGAGAATCAGGCCCAGAAAGTGTTTTCCTCGAATAACTGATCCTTTATGATTGGTCACATGGCTATCCTCAAAAGGCCTCATTGCTCCTTTGTGTTAGTGTTTACAGGAAGTGGTGATGCCTGCGCTCGAGCTTTCAATTCAAAGACAGGCGTCCTGCAGAGGATCTTCCGAGGACACAAGTTCATCATCAACTGCATTCAGGTGAGGAGGGGACTGTACTTTGAAAAACTCAACGTCCAGGTCAGCAAGTTTTAGTATAGATTTCTCCATATGTTCTGTGGAAACTGACATGGCCAGTTACCTGGGCACTAGAACACTTGGAATGCCATGTGCTATGACATGCAGTGGGGAATTGGGCCTTAAATGTAAAGGACTAAACTTCCTGTTTACTTCCAAGCTGCATTTTGATTGTGGTGACTCTGAAATGTGCAGTATGGGATTAAGTATGACCTTATTGTTCCAGATTCACAATGAATTATTGTACACAGCTTCCCACGATGGCACGCTAAGGATCTGGGACGTACAAGGAATCTGCAAGCGAAACAAGCCTCGCCTGAAGAAGGAGCGGTCTGTCCTGGGCAAGAGCTCTCAGAAGGGAAGTCTGTCTCGTCTTTTCAATAACAGAGTTGGCTGCACAGTGCAACAGGAGAATGGGGAACTTGAGGCTGTTGAACTAATGTGATTGCCCGGGACAAACTTTCTGTCAAAGAGGAAGAACTGAGCCCTCTTCTGTGCCCTTGGGTGCAGATAAGCCAGACCTTGGAAAGAGGTGGGAAATTACATTGCCTAAAGTATTCAATCAAGAGTTCACATTCATGTGAATCATGAAACTGACTCTCTTCAGAATATTACTGATGTCTCACAGCAGCTCATAGTACATTGTAATGGAAAGTAAACTTGTGTGGATGACTTATCGACCAGGGGCAATATGGGGTCAGGCGCCATTGTGGAGAGCAGTCCATGAGATATGCCTTCCCCTATATTTTTGTTTGTAATTATAATTTGTATTTAAGACTCCTTTTCCCAGTTCCTTCCTGTACAGTGGTATTTGACCCCACTGCTGCCTCACCCTGGTCCCTGACAGGAGGAGAGGCAGGAATAAGTAATAAGCCAATAGGCTCCCTCCCCTTCTTATTGCGTGTTACAACACACTGCAATGGAGCAGAATGTGCAAGCGAAAGCTGCCTTGCAGGATGACTCTGAATTGAATTTTCTCAGTTCCCTTTAGGGTTATAATGTCCTTGCCTCTCACTGATCCGAATGACTTTAATGTAGGAGAGCTTGGCTGAGGCACACAGATGCCTGAAGTCTCTTTGGTGCTTGAGCTTAGAGCAACAGAGCAGAGATTTAAATGGGCTTTGAAAAAACCCAACAAATGACCAACCTGAACTTCAGGCCTGTTCCTCCACATGCAGCGTGAGTGGGAGAGCAGGTTGGCAGTGAGTTTCCCTGAGGGGTGGGGGAGGGAGGGCGAGGGACTTGTTTCTTTGTTGTGGACATTGGAAAGCAGGACAACAGGCTTCATGTAAGGATGCTGGTTCTGAAGGATGTGATGGAGGGGGGTTGAGTGAATGCAGCCACCCAGTATCTCTCTGGCTTCGCTGCTGGGCCTGGGCTCCTTTCACATTTCATGAACCCATCAGCGGTGCTGCACATTCCATGACAGGTGACATAGGAGCCAGAGAAAATCTAGAGAGTGCCTGGAGACCATATGGGCTTTGAAATGAAGAGCATGTTACCATGGAAGAAGGTGGGTACCTGTTGGAAGGAAGGTGGTGATGTGTAAAGATCTAGAGTGAAATTGTTAGAGATCACCTAGGTGTGCCTGAAGGAAAGGGGGGTTTGGATAAGCATCTGAATCAATGGTTCTCACCCTGTTTATGTGGCCCACAGTGTGTTACGTGGGG